TAAGTGACAGGGTCGGGTCAAATCCAGGACTGACTGAATAAACAGAGGGGGAAAAGAAAGAAATAAAAACGAAGGCAAAACTGGATCCAGGGTTTCTTCTAATTCCCCCTGTCACCCTTAGCCCTCTGGTCTTCTGGATTCCAGGAACTTTTACACCAAGCCACAGTTCACATTGCAGGTAGTCAAAAAAAGTTAAGAAGTCTAGAATCTCAATCTTACGTATATTTTATGTCCAAACTCAGATTGCCCGTCCTCTGAACTCCTGCCACTTATCCTAGCCTTGACTGATTTTATAACAACCCTCTAAACTTTTATAGGAAGAAGTTGCTGTTCCCTCGCTTATTCATGTATATGATCTTTTATTTGTGTATGTCTTCCTTGAATTTCTTTTTTTTTTAATATGTCATATTTCAATTTGAAGGCTCTAGAGATCACCTCTGGTATTTCTCAATACCCACTGTAGCTTCTGGGTTTAATGCAGTACCTGGGTATGAAACTGAGAGCAAGAAGGGCTGGGGAACCAAGCAGTCTAGTCTATACACTTCAGTGGACTCCCCGCAGCCCCATAGGGCTCTCTCTCTCTCTCCCTCTCTGCTTTGCCCTTTGCCTCTTTCCGGATGGAGAAATCCTGATCCAATAGAGACCAACCAGCCAGATGGATTGCTTCATCCTCAGCTGCTGACTTCCCAGCTCTTGCGCAAAACACAGGAACTCCTTGTGCTCATTGTGACCCACTTCCTTTCTTACTAGGACCTGCTCAGGGTAGGGGCTTAGGTCTCAGTGGCTTCTCTTGTTTTTGCAAAAGGAAAATAATCTCCCTGTCATAGTCGCCAGTAGGTTTTTCCCATGACTTTTCCCATGGCACCTCCCAGGTGGGAGAGAAAAGAAAGGAACACTGACTGTGTCCTGAGATGAGCTTCAAAGATACCCAGGAGGGCGGAACACAATGTAAAACCACTTGTTAAGATTATAGTGTTATTTGAATACGAGGGATTGAAGTGGGTCGACACAGGTCTTAGAGTCCAGGGTCTGTATCTGGGCTCTAGCACAGAGCCAGCAGCACGTGCAGCTTAAAGGACATTTTTATGGTTTTGAGTTTTCAGTTTGGCAGGCAGGCAATGTGTCCTGGAGTAAGGGCTCTCTTATGTCCAGAGATGGGTCCTTGTGAGAAGCACAGTGTGGGGGGGTGGGCAGAGGCGAGAGTTTTTGCCCTCAGTGTGTTGTCAGTCCAAAAATGTTGATGGGATAATCATAAATGCCAGTACATAAAACACTGATATGTGATTAAATACAAATTAATGGAACTACATAGAATGATACATTCTACATAAATAAGTGCTTAGACAGTTGCTAGACAAATGGAAATGATTAGAGATGGGTGAGGTTAGCTCAAGCAAGGATCGGGAAAGAGAGATGTTTTGAGAAATGCCTTTATTATCTTGTGCCCAAACAGCTCTGAGCACAGGCACCTTGGCCAACTCGAACAACAGGAGGTCCGGTGGGTGGGTGGAGGAGCAGGGCATGGAGCCAGGTAGGAGGAGAGTGGTGAGCTCTGTTCCCTAAGCTCTGAGCGACTCTGCCCACTCCCACTCCTCACCCCTCACCCCCAGCACCACAGCTCAGTTCTTCTGCAGAAAGAGCAACCGGGGGCATTCAGCCCCGAAGAATGCAGACCTGTGGCCTCAGAATCATAACTTTGCATATGCGATACCTTTTTACTGTTTTAAGACATAGGGAATGATTCCCTTTTATTCTGAATTTATCGAGATCTCTTAGCACCTTAACCTAGAGTTCCCATTAATCCTCCCAAAACAGACTGGACTGATGTTGGAGGGTGGAGCGAGAAGGAGACAAAAATCGGAGATTCAGGAGATTAGGGGGCCAGGGGAGCCTTCACCTCTACTCTTTAAAAAAGATCTTTGCATTGCCCTAGACCTTTCTGGTCTCAATTGCCTCATGAAATAATAGATGTGAAGCACTCTGAAAAATGTTTCAACGCTCCACCTCCTGGGAGTTATGACTGTGGGGAAGCTGAAAGTAAAGCCTGCATGGGGGACTTGCCTGGGGGACCAGTGGTTAAGACTCCATGCTTCCACTGCTGGGGGCACGGGTTTGATCCCTGGTTGGAGAACTAAGATTCCACCAAAAAAGAAAAGAAAAGAAGAGAAAACCTCCTATTTGCACAACCTGTCCTGTTTATAGAGCACTGGATTGCACACCAGCTTACTCTCTACTATGCTGGGAGGTAGAGGTGGCGGGTGATTTTACCATTTATGGAGAGGAAACTGAGGCTCAGACAGGCTAGATGACTTGCCCAGAATTATACAGCAAGCAGATGGTAAGCTGAGCATGGAAGCTGACCAGCTGATTCCTGGTCCATTTCTTTCCACCTAGCCTCTTAAGGTTTGAAAGCACACATGGGTTATTTTGATAGAATCCTATTCTAGAACAACTCAAAATTCATTATTTAATGGCAGAGTGCCAGATCCCACTGTTCTCCACCTGTTAGGTCTTGGATTTTTCTATTTAACCCTATTTTTTGAGAGGCAAAACAATGCCCAGTCAAGGGAGTTTTACAGAACGAAAGCCTTCAAAGCACAATACGCCAAGCTACCACAGTGTAACATTGTTGCCCCAAATTGAGGTCTCCCTTCCCAGGGATTCTGGCTCTGCACAGAGCTGGACAGAAGCCGAGGAGGAGTGTGGGGGCAGAGCCTCCCCAGAGGGAAACAGATGGGCAGGCTGGCCCCAGTGCCAGCACTTTGAACAACCCTTTTCTTTTCCAGCCAAACGTCCAACGTCATTCCCCTCTCACCTCCAGCTCCCAGGCAGCCCCCCCCACCCCCATTCTGTCTTTGGGTGGGCTCTGAGCAGCTGATGGACTCTGGAGGGATGGAGGCTGTTCTTTATGACTGGCAGAAGGATGAAAGGAGGCTTGAAACTGGTGTGGGGCAACTGTTGCCATCTGTCTGGTGGGACGTCACCAGGGATGGTCTCGCCCATTCACTCCTTCACGCACCACTGGGCTCGGGCCTTTTGTTTGGTTGGCTAGGGGTGGGGTTGCTGTAGTGCAGTGGAGAGAGGCAGCGGGTGAGAGAAGCAGCTTCTTTGTGTCTGGACCAAACTTTCAGTGATTCACTAGGGTGATTTGCATGAGGAAGCTGCCTAAGCCCCCAAACACCCAAGTGATTGACAGCCTCCAGCCCTCTCTCCTGGTCACACCCCTCCCCCTCCCCCTTCGGCCAAACAGCTCCCCAGGGTTAGAGGGAGTGGCCCCAGCTCCTCTGCAGGGACGGGGAGCAGGGAAAGCTGCTCTGTCCCTCTCTGTCCCCCCTCTGTCCCCATCCCTTTCCCAGTTGGAGGTGGGTCTGGTGTCTTCCTCCCTCCCCACCCCCATCAGTCCCTCACAGCGTTTTTCTTTTTGTTTGGTTTCTGCGTACTAGGCTGGCGGGCAGAGGGGCCAAAGCGGGAGGAAAGGCCCATTAACCACCCAGCAGCTGAGCAGGAAAAAAAAGGAGCTGAATTGAAACGTCGGGGTTGGCAGCCCTCCAGCCCAGCTCCTGGTCTTTGAATAACACCCCAGGCCAGGAGCTGGGATCAGTGTGTGGGAGGCTTTGGGGCATTTAATTATTTAAAGGGCTCACTAAAAGGAGCTAAGACCCAGGGGAAGGGGGAGGATAGGCAGATGGTGTGCCCAAGTTGCTGGGAACCTGGGTGCAGGATGGGTGAGGGTGGGGGTGGGGGAGGTAGGGAGGACTGAGCTAGAGGTCAGGGTTCAGGGAGTAAGAGAATGGGGGAGGGGAAGTGAAACAGAGATTGCCCTCCAGACCCAAGCACGCCCTGTGGATAGTCTTTGCTTACACCAGCTGTGAGCAGGCTCTCAGCTTCTCCTTTCTGTACTCCTGCCCACCACTCCCCAACTTTGAAATTCGTATCTGCCCTAAGAGGGAACCATTTTGGAAACACACAACAAAACTGTGAAGTTTAGGGGATTACCCCTTCTCTTCTGGCACTTAGGGATGTTCCAGATTGGTTCAATGGTGACCTGAACTGGGCAGACGGATAGGAGGATTTTCTCTTCCTCCCTCCCTCACTCCCTCCCTTCCTTTCTTTCTTTTCTTTCTTTCTTTTCTCTTTCTTTCTTTCTTTCTTTCTTTCTTTCTTTCTTTCTTTCTTTCTTTCCTTTCTTTCTTTCTTTTCTTTCTTTCTTTCTACTTGTGGTAAAACTTCTGCAACATAAAATTCACCATTTTATCTAGTTTCATTTTATAAGATGAGACCATACACTGAGTCTGTGGAAATACTGAGAAAGCAAATAATTGGAGGCCCTGCTCTTGGGGGCACAGGATGCTTCAAAAGGCAGTCTGTGCCCCCAAGAGCACAGGGGCCCTAGGTCCCTAGGTAGAAACATACTAGTCAGATTCAATCTGAATTCAGCTCTGCCATGTACTAGCTCTGCGACCACAGGTAAGTTATTTAATTGTTCAATGCCTCAATTTTCTCATCTTTAAAATGAGGATAAAAAATTGCTCCCACTCAGTATTCTTGAGGGGATTAATATAGGTGAAGCACTTAGAAGAGTGTCTGGCTCTTTGTAAGGACACAATAAATGTTATTAAATATTATTGTCATTACCATTACCAGATCAGGAGGCATTTATATAGGCTACACAATGGAAACTGAGAGAAACAGGGAATTTGGGAATTGGGTACAAGGCCAAAGGGGAATTTGGTAAGGGTGTGGATTTGCCTCCATCCTCTCTCCCATTTGTAATGAGCTACGGTTGGAAATGTGGTCTTTGCTGTTCCAAAAACAGTGGTCCTGTTCGGGTAGCCCCCCTTTCCCACCTGCATCCCTCTTCCACCTTCACCAGGGCAAGTGAACAGCTCCAGGACCTGGGGCTCTGAAACCCTCTGGTCCAGACCTTGCTTTGTGGCAGTTTAGGCATTATTGTTAGCCCTATTTTACTGATGGGATGATCAATTCAAAGGGGTTAAGGACTTGAGATTTGATTCTTCTGCTTCTTGGGGCTTTCCCTACTCTAGCCCCGCCCAGGCCACAAGGTCATGTGGAATGAACTGGTCACTTGGTCACTGTGGGGCACACAGTGCAATACAGCATCTCAGCCTGTCTTCACTTCTCAGTCTGGCCGGCCTCAAACGTGTGAGGTGGGCGTGTTTTCTGCACCTTCCAGCGAGGCAGTTCTCCCGTCCTCAACACGCCTGGGGGGAAACGGCGACGGCTTTCAGTCGGGGACAGCCAAGGATGATCCCGCGCGGGCCGCCCGGACTCAGACGTGCACCGCAAGGGTGGTGCTGCGGGTAGGCTGGGGGCGTGAGGGCAGGCAGGTGTTTGGCTCCCTCCCTCCCGGATGTGGGCAGAGGGAGGAGCCCCCGGCCAATCATCCACGTCCCTCAGTCCCTAAGGAGAAGCTGTCTGGGACCTTGAAACGCGACCAAACGCGCTAGCTAGTTGATTTTCCTAGTTTGGCAACTGGGTGGTGCCGCAGCCTCCGCCCCCTCTGGGAAGCCCCCACCTTGGTAACAAGCTGCTGATTGGCTGGCCTTGGGGCACAGCGGACCAATCAAAGCTCTCCTTGATGTCGAGGTTTGGCAGAGAGGAGTTAAAAGTGGGGGTGGGGTGGGGTGGGGGTGGGGTGGGGTGGGGGGACCCCCTCCCTCTCGCCACCTGCTGCTAGAGCGTCTCTGGTCCCTAAAGCTTAGGTCTTTCCTCCATTTCTCAGGCCTTCCTCACAGCCTGACCGACTGCAGGGCTGGTGCAGCCTTTCTTGAGCAATTTTGGAGGTTCCGGGTTTCTGAAACCTCCTCGGTCCTCTCTCCAAAGTCCCTCTGTATTGGGGCGTTTATTTTCCCAAGTTTGTTAGTCGGGCCGTCTTCGTTTTCTTTTTGTACATCTGTGTGTGCTCACGCCCTCCTTGGGCCGTGTTACCAGTCACCAGGTTAATCGTCCGCTTTATTACACTGTGCCTATTGGCACCAACCTCCCAGACTTAGTGCAGTATACATTTCTGAGGACGTACATTGTAAGCTTTGTAAGAGAAAGCATTTTGAATAACATTGTTCCCCCACCTCAACGCACACAAACATACACACATACATATTCAAAGAACCTAGCGCAGTAGCATCAAGATTAAGACTCTAGAGACCGTGACAGGGTACAGTTCCAGCTCTGCCACTGCTACTGGCTCTGTGACCTTGAGCAGCTACTTCACCTCTCTGAACCTCAGTTTTTACCAATGAAAAATGCTAATGATAATAGCACCTACCTCCTAGCATTATTATGACAAAATGCCTGACACATAATGCCTAATAAATGATATTATTTTAGATATTAATAAAGAAGGAATGAGTATTACTTCCCCACAGTTAATCTCAGCCCCCCATTCTTGGTTTAGGTGCTAGGGATAACAACTAGATTCTAGGGACATTTAAAATTACTATCAGTAAAACAATTTAGGACTCAGAATAAAACTTAGCACAGTCTCACAGCCCCCAGCCTTCACATGGGTCCTGTTTTAGCTCATAGATTTTACGAAGGGAGAGATCTGTTGGCAAGATAGGATTCGTTTTTCCTCAAGGACTTTTCTTAACAAGGTTTTTTTTTTTTTGGCCGCATTCAGCATGAGGGATTCCCCGACCGGGAATCGAACCTGTGCCCCTGCAGTGGAAGCTCAGAGTCAAGGACTTTTCTTCAAATTCCTCCCTCTCAAAAATTTTAGAACAGCAGCGTCTGAAGATTTACAGTAATCCCATTTTAATAGGATTTAACAGTCTCCTTTTTTTTTCACGGACTCATGGAGTGCCTTACCTGACCTCTCCATATACTTACATTAACACCAAGGTGTGACTGTTACGTTTTTCCCAAAACTCTCCACTGAAGTCCTTTCTTGTTGCTCAGAGACTCATCTTTTCTGCAGTCTCTGCCTCTCCCCCGAATGCTACACACTGGTCCATAGATTTTCCTCAGTGAACACAGAGGCTGGCAGTTCAGTGCTCCCAGACCCGTAGGGGTCATCCTGCCATGTTCTATCACCTGCCGTACCCTGTTGATGTCAGAAGTGGCCTTTGTTGATGTTTTGCATTATTAAGAACAAAAGCAATGATGTGTCTGGGGCACCTCAGTGGTGCCAGATGCCGGGTACAGGGAGGATGCAAGGGGCACCCAGCACTGGGGTGTATTTCAGTGGGAAGCCAGCAGACCTGGGTTTCAGTGTTGAGTATATGTCATTAGGGACAAGTCAATAAAAAGTGTTAGGTCTCAATTACCCTATCTGTAAAGTGGGTGAATCAGACCTGGCTCCTTACTTTATAGATATTTTGGGAAAATAACTGGGGTCATACTGTTGAAAGCACTTCATATTTTTTGGAAATTAAAAGGGGTGTGTTTGTGTGGGTGTGTGCAACAGGCTATTAAATCCATTTTATGCTACTATTTCCATTTGGCTCCCAGAAATATGATCCAACAGTTGTTATTAAAAACTTATGAACCCAGCTTTGTGCTAACTGTTGTGAGGTATATGGAGGGATCATATGACACGCTCTCTACCTTTAAAGAATTTACAGTCTAACCAGGTTGCTCAACTAACACATGAAATGATGTGTCGTATTGACTGTGGGTCCCCCACATATCCTCTTCTGTCTTACAAGTAAAGGATGATCTGGTGGTGTGACAATGGAGCCAATAGGTGGACGTGCCTTACTGCAGCTAGCACAGCTGCTTGCCTCTTACCTCTCTCTTTCTATCCTTGGTGGGGTGTGGGGTCTTACAAACCATCCTCACTGCTGCCTTCGCCAATGCTCATGAGCCATGGCCTGATGCTTTGTGACCTGAGGTTGGGGAGATGCTCACCTTTGATGCTGCCCTTCACTTACTGTTCATGTAGTTACCTGTTGCTGATGCTTTCTCATCTGCACCTGCCCACTGCCACTGCTTACAAACGCCATCACAGCCATTGTAGCTACAGCAGCTCCTGTGGGGTGGGCTTTGGGTGGGACACTGAGGATACTGTTATTCCCAGCCCCCTGTACCCGGCAAGGGACACCACCTCCCTACCCCTTCTAATCTCTGTATTTGCTCCCATGGGCAGGTAGACTAGAAAAGATGCAAGTTGCTCACGCTTCCCCACAGCACAGAGGGCTGTGTCCCATTTGGGGCTCCCCCCAGCCTTCTTGGTGGAGGGAGCTAGTCTGGGATGGGGTTGAGGACCAGTTCTGTTGCTGATTCCAGCTCCAGGTTCTCTGTGCTGGGCCAGCAGATTTAGCTCCTTTCCTTTTTGGAGACTGTCAACAAAGGCTCAGCATAGCTTCTAAGAAGGAATAGATCAGTGTAATTGCTATCATCTTTGAAAAAAAAAAAGATGGGCATGCAAATTAAAATAAATATCAATACCAAGTCTCATCCATCAGACTGTCCAAATTACTAAAGTCTGAAGCAGTATTTGGCGTCATGGGGATGTGGGGAAATGGAGGCTCAGGTACAACTGGTGTGAGTGCACATTCGTACAACCCCTTTGGAGAGCAGTTTGACAGAATCTAGTAGAGGTAAATTGTTCATATTTCACGACTTAGCAGTTCCCTCCTGGGCATATATACCAGTAGTTTTTAACTGGTGGTGGTTTTGACCCCCCAGGGAACATTTGGCAACTTTGGAGATATTTTTGAGTTGGACTGGGGAGGGGACAGATGCTAATGGCATCTCGTGGATAGAGGCCAGGGATGCTGCTAAACATCCTACAGGCAGTCCACTCTGTCCCCCCACCCCTTGCCCCACAAAGAATTATCCAGAGCCAAAGGCCAGTAGCGCACTGTTAAGAAATCCTGATGTAAACGCTAGAGAGACTCTCAAATGCAATCTCAAAGAGACAGATAAAAGGGTGTTCACTGCATCATTTGTTCCTAACGTGACAGTATTGAAAATAATCTAAATGTCCCTCAAAAGGAGAATAGAGAAATAAATTTAGGTGTTTTCACACAATGGTTAGAAGGAATGAACTGGAGCTACAAGAATCGATATGGATAAATCTTGAACACACAATGTTCACTGGAAGAAGCAGAGTAATACAGAAAGTACTACTCTGTAAAGTTTAAAGACACAAACAACTGTCTACTTCCCCTGTGGATGTAATGCAAGTTAGTTATTTTTGTCTCCACCAACTTCCACAGCAAGTACCTGGAGACCTTTACATTCATTCTTTCATACACTAAATGCACCAACTATTGACATTATCTGGCTCAGGATTTTGCGTACAGAAAAAATGTGTTGAATGATTGAGCTGTGCTCATAGAGAGACAAGACCATGATTTGCCTTCTCTTCTTGCCTTTCCTCTAATAGGATCTGCCTTTCTGCCTGTCTTTTCATGGCTTAATTTAGGGAGGGTCCCAGAACTTGGATGAGAAAACACTGAATCTTCATTTTTCACACTGCTAACTGAAATTTAGCATTCCCTTCAATTATGAAGGTAACAAGTCACTGCAATATTAGCAGCCTGAAGCTTTGTCACCAACTGAAATTACAGATATCTTCATATCACATTACAGTTATTGAAAATACATACGTTCGTGCTCATTAGCACTTCGAAATGACTGTAGTTAGACTTGTTGCTGCATCTCATTATTTATGACATTAATAAACATTTATATATATATGATCTAAAATATTTATACATTTTGATAACTGTACTTCATTGGTTTCCTTTGGAATCCAATGGATTTTATTTTATACCTTCAAAAACATTTCGAGAAGAGGTCCATAGGCTTTGGCAGGCTGCCAAAGGGGTCCACAAATGTCAAGACTCCCTGGTTACACCATACCTTCTGATGCTTTGATTATTGGTTAAGTGTCCATTGGGGCTCGGTACTGATCAGAGCCGAATGGGAGAAAGTGGGCATGGATTGCCACCTTTAAAAGTTTCAGAAAAGGCTCTGATGGTGCGAAGTGAGATCTGCCCGCTAGTTGCTGGAAGACAGAACTGTGAGATTGAGCCGGAGCTTTGGAATGTTGGTAAAGTTTTTTGGTACTTGTGTCTGAAATAAGAGAATAAAGGCAGTAGATGGTTTTACCCCTGCCTACAGCTCCAGCCTCGTTGCTCCTTGCCACTGTGCCCCCAGCCATTTTTGCTGTCTTTCAGTGTCCAGGAAGCTTCCTCCTGCATTAGGAGGTCTATACATGCCGTTATCTCTGCTGGACTCTCCTCCCGTCTCTTCATCTAGGTAAGTACACTCTCCCTCCATATCTGATTATCTGCCCCTGTTCCTCCAGACTAGGTCAGGCTCCTTGATAATCCTCACGTAGACCCATCCTCATCTCCTTCACAGCCCTTTCTCAGTTTGTAACCATGTGGTCCTTGGGGTGACTCTTTAGTTCACTGCTTGTCACTGCACCAGATTATAAATCCCCCAATGGCAAGGAAGGCTTGCTTTAATTGTCTGCAGTATCCCCAGTGCCTGACCGAGGGCTTGTGGTAAATATTTATTGATGAAGAGTGAATTTTAATTGGAAAATTCATAAAGGGACTGTGAATGCTAGCAGAATGGATTTAGGTCCACAAAAAATAAAGTCGGATGGCCTCCCCCGCTTGTGAGACCCCATCTACCACCGAGCATCCCCCACACTCCTGGCAGTTGTGCGCACACCAGTAACACAGAGCTCTTCAGGCTAGCACAGTAGAAACAGCATAGCAAAACTGGCAGGCTGGGGAGAGAGAGGGCCTGGGGTCAGATCCTGGCCTCCATGCTTTCTTCCTGGGTGACCTCAGCCTCTTTGTGCCTCAGTCTCTCCATCTATATAAAACAGTGAAAATAACAGTACCAATGGCATAGAATGTTTAGGAATGCTAATGAAGCCACATAAATAAAACACCTCACGCATAAGTACTGATCAAATGGTAGCTTAAAGGAAAAGAGACAACTTTTATCCATCAGAGCCTGATGGATAATCCACCCCTGCTACCCTCTTGAGAAGCACTGGATTTAGAAACAGAATTTCACAGAATGTATTAGTGAATATCTTCAGTCAATAATATATTCAGCTCAGTAAATATCAGTTGTGGTTCTTTCTCTATTAGAAAACTAAAAGCACAAGCCTAGCTCTTAAAGGCTTTCAAGAAACGTGCATTGAGGGCTTCCCTGGTGGCGCAGTGGTTGAGAGTCTGCCTGCTAATGCAGGGGACACGGGTTCGAGCCCTGGTCTGGAAGGATCCCACATGCCGCGGAGCAACTGGGCCCGTGAGCCACAAGTACTGAGCCTGTGCGTCTGGAGCCTGTGCTCCGCAACAAGGGAGGCCGGGATAGTGAGAGGCCCGCGCACCGCGATGAAGAGCGGCCCCCGCTTACCACAACTAGAGAAAGCCCTCGCACAGAAACGAAGACCCAACACAGCAAAAATTAATTAATTAACTCCTACCCCCAACATCTTCTTTAAAAAAAGAAAAAAGAAATGTGCATTGAGAAGTTGAATGAAAGAGCAGATGGGCTACTTGAATGCTTATTTTCCTCTTCCAGGCCCAACTTGGCTTTGCAGTACTTGACTGCCCTCAGTTCTACATAGTTGCCACTAGAGGGCAGGCGCGGTTAAGACAACAATACTCTGGACCCACCAGCGCCATAATTACTGGGTAAACAAGGGAGGATGGTTGAAGGAGAAAAATGATAGAATGATTGAAAAAAAAATTTTTTTTTCTCTATCTCTTGGGGACCAAATGGAAGGAAATATGGAGCTAGTGAGATTGAAGTTAGACTTAAAGAAGAACTTCCAGAGCACAGAGTTTGCTAACTAGAGATTTTATACAGGTGACTTTTTACAAACCTCTTAGCTATATCTACCCAAGCAGAATAGATGAGAAAGTGGGCTCCTCCAGTCTGAGGCTTATGTGACGCCCCCCCCCTTAAAGTTACCCTTCTGTGTCTGCCTTAATTGACTCCATTCTTGCAGATGCAATTGTAAAATAACTTTATTGGTTGGGTTAGCCACCACTCATGCTTTTCCTGTGATAGGATCCTTTATAGAGGCATGATGGTGTTCACATGCAGATACTTTCTGAAGAGCCCTGGGGCAAGGGGCAGCCTTGCCCCTCACCTCAGAGCTCCTTTGTTGAAATGAGCTGGTTTGGCTTTTGTGGATTTCAAGATCTGGAGCCAAGAAGCAGTCCAAGTATCCCCCCCTTCCCTTTTCAGGAAAACGGCTTCAAAGCATACACTGTATCAGGGACACAGTGGCATCTGGGCAAGGAGCAGATTAGGGCTAGCTGTCCTCAAGCAGTTCCTGGCCATGGCTGCCTGGATGGCTCCATCCCAGTGGTACCCCAGAGAGCAGGAGGGTTAGGTCCCCAGACAACACTCCTTTCAGAAATGGGAAGAATTAATTGCTCTCCACCCAAGCTATAAAGTAACAGCCATCTTCAGTAATGAGAGTGTAGCTCAGAGATGTGAAAGCAGAGGGTTTTGTGCTCAGTACAGGCAAGATTTGGCTGCCTGGCCTGGGCTTCACTGACCCAATGAGCATCTCCAGCCAGAGCTGGTACTATTAACTGTGGCCTTAGGAGAAAACAATTAATACCACAGCCTCCTCCTTTGGCAAATCCTGGGCTGGTTGGAGTCTGTCTCTCCCATCAGGATATAGACCTTTCTGCTTGCATAAGAGGAGAGGACAAATTACCTCTCTCATGCTTTGAGAACCGCATGGACTCTGCCTTTGAATATAAAGACCCAAGTAGGGAGCTGCTGGGAATGCAGAGTGCTGGCTGAGAATGGAACTACCGCAGCTGCTTCCTCAATTCAGCCAATTCGAGGTGTGTCTGCCTCCATTATGGAGGCTGATGATAAGCAGAATCTGGCCTTTCCTCTTTTTTTTTTTTTTTTTTTTAGTCAAGCCCAAACTAGTCTCCAGCTGAGTCCATGGCCTTTCCTCTTTTGAAGTCTGATCCACCTTCAAAGAATTGCTTAGCTGCTAAAATATAGCCCTATACATTTAGCTAAGCCTGAGGTTGGTTTTCTCCTCCCACATCAAGCCAAGAACATGGTCATCATACTGGTGACCTCTGGTGTAGAGGTGACTCTTGGCGTCCTTCCAACCTCAGACGCGAGTGTGAGTTCTCTGCACAGGCACTGGGCAGATGAGCATATGCCTTGGGGTCTCCTGCCTCTGCCCAAGGCAGAGAAGACGTGTCTGTGGGGCAATGTTGAGTGGATGAGGTGGACTTAAGAGGAGGCAGTTGGCCAAAGAGGTATATACTGAGAAGCAGCGAGTGGGAGCCCAGAGTAACTGCACAACTCGCCCAGCACATGGCAGAGCTGTCAAGCGCTGCTCACAGACAGAATCAGTGACTGTTTAAAAAGTAAGGTTATGTACTATTGCTCAAGCAAATTTTAGGGTTCACGGCACCAGATCATTGTGAAGAATGGGTAATGAGATTTCTGGGGTTGGGACTTCAGGGAGAGAAGTCCCTGAAGAAGTCTGCCACCACTTCTGTCCTGGAAAGGAGAGTTTCGTGTCCCTCAGAAGAAGGCTGCCTGTCCCCTGATTCCACCTGAACTTGCCTACAGGGTAGAAAACTGTAGAGGGAGCCCATGGACTTCTGTCACATGGTCTGTCCCAGACCTTCCAGCAAAAGCCAAACCAAACCATCAAGCCAAATGCAGAGGGGCACGGGGGCTCTGGCCCTGCGCCCAGTGCGTGGGCCACTCAGATCTCGATGAGGCTGGCGACGCGCAGGCAGAGGGGTGCGTCGGGCGGCATGGCGCTGCGCTTGATCTCGTTCCCATCCAGGCGCAGCACCTGCAGCTTGGAGAAATTCATGACGTCCACCACGGTGCAGAAGCTGCTGATGGAGAACTCTGTGGGAACAAGAGGGGTGGGGGTGGGTCGGAGAAGCCCAGATCAGGGACCTGGGTCCGCAGTGAGGCCAGACAGCCTCTGTGAAGCTTCTAATGTGAGAGGTGGAACTCGGCTGGGTGGAGCAGGCACTTTCCAGGATCGGAGTCATACTTGAACCAATTAGTGGGCAGAACCAGAGACAGAGTGGGGTCTCTGCCTGCATAGCTCCACCTCATACCCATCCCTCTCTGTAGACCCTGGAATGTCCTTCCAGCCAGGCCTTGATCTTTTCCCATCTTTAGGCAGCAGGTGGCAGCAGAAGGCAGTCAAAGACGAACCCGAGCAACTTTGATTGCTTTTGGAGAGGAGGGTGTTTCCGAATTGCTTTAAGAAGGAAGACTGGGGAAATGCAGGGACTTAAATCTGGAATATTTCCTAACACTTTGCAGATAGAGCAAGTGGCAGAAAATTAAAGAGAGAAAATCTAGACTGAGAGACAAGTGTCTCTGAGTGCAGAGCTTTGAGGGCGTTGTCTGTGTACATTCTGAGTAAAGCCAAAGGAGTGAGCAAGGCCCTGAGGTCTAAGGAGATGGAAACTGATAGATGAACAGGGCTGCTATGGAGCTCAAAAGTCCGATAAATAATTCCCTTGCATCCCACATTTAATATGATACGGTTTACCCTCCTTTTTTGTAATCTCAAAAGAAGCACCCTTTTTTGAAGACTTTCCCTCCAAACCATGCAGTCCTAATTGATACAGTAGTTCTGTTTGATTTAAATACAAACCCTTCTGCTACCATTCACCTTGTTCTCCCTCTGGTTGTCCTCTTGGACAGATCAGCCACCTCTGTCTCTAGCCTGCTGGGTCAGGAACTTGAAGGATAAAAACCAAGAACTCAGCTAAAACTCCAACAAGGACAGCCAGAGTCACCACTGAGAAGCTGCTGAAGCCCCTAGAGGCGGCCTTCAACACGGTGTGTGAGAGCGTCAGGACGGTGGCTCATGTCAAAGGGGCTTTGGGTGAGGTTACCTGTCGGGTCTCCGTAGGCTGTAACACTTAGGCAGACCCAGAGCTGGGCTTGCTTTTGCCTCAACCAGAGGCATTCCTCTGCTTGCCACAGTGGTCAGGAGCTGTGTGTCAGCCTGGAACTGGGCAGGAGGAATGGGAGGAAGGCTTTCCTGACTCTCTTCCTAGAGGTGACCTTCGAGGGCATTGTGGATGGAGAGATTATGGGTATGAACGTGAAGATTGCAAGGAAGACAGTATGGAGAGCTTAGATAGATGAAGAAATTGTTTTTTAAATTAGCGCTAGCAATTGTTTTCAGTCTCTGTCAAGACTGACAGAGAGGAGATGGGCTGAGGCTGCAGCCAGTTAACTTGTACTGCAAATGTAAGATA